GTACTTATGAGGTTGAGGAAGAAAGATTGTTAGGGCCAGGGAGATGGCTCAGTGGAATAAGTGCTTACCTGACAAGCACAAGGTCCTGAGTTTGATCCCTGGAACACCCCCCAAAACAAAACAAAAACTGGAAAGATTGTTGCCAAGTTCATGGCCAGCCTGAACTATACACTGAAACTCTGTCACAAACAAACAAATAAATATTTAGGTCAAAAGCAACTACTATATATGTACATAAAACTCGAGTTGAACTTTTTTCTTTGTCTTTTTGAGATAGGATTTCACTATGCAGTTCAGGCTGGCTTTGAACTCACTTTGTAGCTGAGCTGGTCTCACACTCAAAGCCATCCTCCTGCTTCAGCCTCTCAAGTGCTGGGATTACAGGTGTGAGCCATCGTGCCCAGCAAGTTGAACTTTCTTAGAGGTGGGCACAAAAGGAAATCCCATTGGTTTTGCCCCTTCTTACGTAACAAGAGGAAGCGCGTGTACATGGAGAGAGCTTGGCTTCTCACATTCCGAAATGTTGGTATGAGGTTCACCTTTCATAAAAGCCCTTCACAGCCCAGCACATGACATGATGCATGTGCCGGAAGCAAGAAGCTTTTAAAGATGCAGAAATGTTCTTCAGCGTGACAGTGGCTTACCTCACCCCTTCATTATTTGAAACATTTTTATTGACTGAAATGTCAATTATCTTAGAAGGGACACAGACTACCTTGTGTATGCCTCTTAATTATAAGTTTAAATGGAAGTATGTTAGTATTTAATGATGAAGAAAATGATACATTTTCTTCAAGAGACTTGCTGCTCTTCCAACAAGTTGTTGTTTAAATGAGCTGATACTGTTTTTTGGGGTTGTTTTGTTTTGTTTTTTGTACTTTTTAGGGAAGGGTCTACAGGGTGTTCAGGGTCTCACTACTAGATTGTACTCGTACTGGTCCACCTGTCTACAGCCTCCCGAGAGCTGGGATTATAGGCATGCACCGCCATGTCCGGTCTCAACTGCTGTATCAGTACACCTGTGGGGTGGGTCCAGCACGGCAGGCCCGGGGATTGAACCCCCAGCTCCTGCGCCTGCTTGCAGGCACTTTAATCTGCTGAGCAATGGCTGGCCAAGCAGACACTGTTATTACAGGCCAAGCAAGATGGGGCGCTACTCAGTTTGGGACCAATAAGTGTTAATGGTGTGTACCAAAGCAGAGATTCTTCCTTTGAAAACATCTCGCGTTGTAGCATTCCCTGGCCATCCGCACAGTAACGTCCAGCACTAGCACCATGAGACAGGTGGGCACTCTGCTCTTACACCCGGAGCTAACGCTTAAACGATCTTGGTTATCATCTAAATGCATGCGCAGATTTTTAAAAATTAGATACCTAAATAACAGTACATATGTACAGCCTATTTGATGTCCCTACTTCTAAAAAGCTTCTCTTCAATTTCACTATAGTCACATCTTTATAGAGAAGTTCTTTTCTTGTTATCATAATTCTAACTTTGTATTCACACATGGTCAGATTTCTTACCCAGGAAAATATCCTTACATACAGAAATAGTTAACTTACAAAGCAAACAAAATAGGAATGTTTGAAAAGTTACCTTTCAGCTGCTGCTTCTCTTTGGTATTAACTGCTGCTTAGAAAGGACTACGGTTCTTTTCCTGTCTTATGGCTCCATGTTTTGCACTGATGCCTGCTTTCTGCCTCCTGCATAGGTGAGATGTCTTCTATGGCTCCAGTGAACATTGATGTTGATGTTTGTTTTCTTGCGTAAAGTTGAGTGCATTTCTATGTGAAGCCAAAATAATCCCTTTGAGGCCTCTGGGTCTTGAGCAAGCCATTGCCGGGTGAGTTTCCCTGCAGGGCTTTGACTCAGCTGGGTGCCAGTGTAAGAGTCCCTGCTCTTGACTGAGGGTGGCTGTGGGCTGGCCCCGTGTTCCCTTGCTGTAGCACTGTGAGGTACCTGGTGTTCAGTACCAGTGGTTGAGCTAGGCGAAGCCTGGGCACAAGATGCTGAACTAGTTGCCTCCCTGTACAGAGCAGTGGAAATAGCAGCATTTAGGATTCACAGCTTCCGAGGCCCAGGGGTGCAGCGAGCTCAGTGGGACCAGGGTACATCCAGGGGCCAGGGCTGTGGCCGCCCCTGCAGGTGCCACTGGGAGGCTCTGCTTGCGGCTGCCTCACAAGGACCCTCCAGACACACTTGTTGGTGGGCTGCTGGCTGGAGGCCACGCTCAGCTTCCTGGCAACTAAGTCTTGCTTGGCACAGGACAGCTCAAAATACAGCCTCTATCAGGGAGACAAGCAGTGAGCACCCCAGAAGAAGCCTTTGTAAGCTCATCTCAGGAGTGGTGCTGTCCTGTCTGTCACCTTTGCTGTACTCTGCTAGAAGTGAATAACCAGATCCTGCCTTGCCTCAGAGCAGGGGATGTTTGAGCAGCACTTAGTAGGTCACCTGTCGCTGAGTGGAGGGGCTAAGATTGCCACTGCGATGAGAGGAGACGGAGCCTCTCACCCTGGTGCTGCACTGTAGGTACGCAGAGGTGGTGGCCCCGAGGTTCTTGGGAAAGGGTGTCAGCGCTGGCCTGCTGCACCACCTATCTGTCCTCAGTGAGCGCAGTACCATGGTGGTGCCACGTGGCACACAAGGGACATGACGGGGAGAGCGTGGCCTGTCTTCTCCCCCGGGCCAATCTTCATCCAGTGCTGGCGACTCAGCTGCAGAGCCTTCTCAGGAGGCGTCGTTCATTCTCTGTAAATTGAGCAAAGCCTTGATTCCTGCCTGCCCTTCTCCTTCATGGCAACCTTGGCCTTTAGGTGGCATTAGTGTCGTTGGGATGGCTTTTGTGAGGGCAGGGAGACTATCCCAGAGAGCTCCCATGTCCACCCGGAGCAAACAGCCAGGAAGTGGCTTCACCGTGTTTCTAACTCACGGCTCTGTGGCTCCAAAGGCTTTGTCATTTCCACCACGGCTTGCTCCATGAGCGACTCTCTCGAGAAGCCAACGAACCAGCTGGTTAGGTGGGGGTGCTTTGCCTTGTTCGCTGGTCAGCCAGAGTGCCCGTCACCAAGCTGTCCTTACCACGGGTTGGCCACCAAGTTCCTAGGTGTGTGATGTATCTCCCGGGCAGTGACAGCAGGACCAGGGTGGCACCAGCTTGTGTTGCTGCTGGCACAGCAGGTTGCCTAAACCCTGTGCCCAACTATGTCACATGAAAAAGGTGGGGACAGGGCTCGGCTCTGTTTTATGCCATTTGGGAGTAGAAATATCCTCATTAAGTGCCTGCTCCTGCCAGTTGGACTTGAGGAGTTGCTCTGTGAAACAGACTCAAGGGGGCCATTAACAACCTGGAATCAATACCGAGCTTTTACAGCTTTTGAGACAGACATCTGCTGAAGCAGGAATCAAAGCCTGACAGTAGATCATTAAGCGTTACAGATATCCCCAAACTCTCCACAACCATTTCATCAGTGATGACAGCAACGGTCCTGATAGAGCAGGTGCACGTCGAGCCCAGCTCTCTCAGTCTGTTGGATCGTACAATTCAAAGTGCCATTTCCTGGGGAGCCAGGAGGCGCCCAGCGAGCAGAGGGCTTTGCTGGCTGGGGACAGGGACCTCTGCTCTGGGCGAGCACATAGGCTGTGTTCTGATCCCTTTCCCAGCCCTGAGATCAGTAAGTCACTTTGCAAGAAGGAAGAAGATCACCCCGAGCAGGGTGGGAATAACTGGGGGGAGCCCAGCACCCTTGGCAAGGGTCCCATGGTCTGCAGTGACTGGTACTGATTGCTGAGTGCGCGGGGCGGCAGTGCAGTGCCAAGCACACACTTGGCTGCACGAGGCTGCAGCTTTGGTCTGACACTGCCACAAAAAGAAAAGAGTGGTGTTGGGGCGGGGGGGAGGGGAATTGTTACCACACAGAGGGTGCTTAATTCCATGTAGGGAAAGGGGGGCTCATGGGGCCGGGGAGATGGCTCAGTAGAATAAGTGTTTGCTTGGCAAACGCAAAGGCCTGAGTTCAATTCCTGGTTCAACCAAAAAAAAAAAAAAAAAAAAAAAAAGGAGGGTAGGTGAGTTCCTGGACTATAATGGAGAAATCTGTAGGAACATGTGCCTCGCCTGTCCTCTGCTTGTGGCCAAGGTGACCAGGCCTGGCTGTTGCATCAGTCAGATGGCTCTGACCTGGCCCCTTGACCCACTGGCAGCAGCACAAGTGGCGTCTGAAAGCATTTACACCTCGGTTCTGGCTTCTTTATCAGCTTCTGCTTGGGATGTTTGCTGCTGAGATTCTGTTTGCTTTTTGCTTGTTTAAATTTCAAACTATCCTTGTCAAAACCAAGAATCCTATAATGGGTTCCATTGTTTAATTCTATGGCCCTTGGTAGGTGAGTTGGGGAGTTGGGGGCCTTCCCAGAACCCTACTGCCGGGACCATTACAGGGCCCCTTGTTGCTGGGGCCCTGGCTTCCTTGTGTTGTTTCTGGCCAGCCCTCTGCCACAGGGGAAGAACAGAGGTTACCCCGACTGCAGCCTCTGGCTCCTTCCCGCCCCTCGCTTTTTCAAAGACAGGGCTCGCTACTGTTTGTCTGTTTTTCCCACGCAGGTTGCCCCTAGCCTGCGTGAAAAGTGGGTGTGACACTCGGAGGGACGCCCCCTTGCGGCCGCCTGCTGCACAACCCCAGCCTCAGACCCCCGCCCACCGCCACCAGCGTACTGCCCTGGCTGCCTCCCGGCTCCCTTTGGCCAGGGTCTGAGCCAGGCCCCGGTCTCCGAGGCGTCCTGAGCCATGCATGCCACCTTCTGTTTACAGGGCACCATCGTCCTGCCCAACCTGGCCTCTGCGCTGTGTGACCCCGAGCACTGGGAGACCCCTCACCAGTTCAACCCTGGCCACTTCCTGGACAAGGATGGAAATTTTGTGGTGAACGAAGCCTTCCTGCCATTCTCTGCGGGTACTCAGCAAGCACTGGGTGCTGGATGCTGAGTGGTAGGTGGGAGGGTGCTAGGGACAGACGCTGCTACCCCTGACCTTTTGCTTCCAGGACATCGGGTGTGCCCGGGGGACCAGCTGGCCCGAATGGAGCTCTTCCTGATGTTTGCCACTCTCCTCCGGAGCTTCTGGTTCCGGCTGCCGGAGGGGAGCCCAGGGCTCAGGCTGGAGTACATCTTTGGGGGCACCCTGCAGCCCCAGCCCCAGGAGATCTGTGCCGTGCTGCGCCGGATCAGCCCCAGCCCAGGCCCCAGCGAGGAGGGCCTGTAGCCGGCTGGCTCTTGCCCTTTCTCCTTCGCTTCCTGCAAACCAAAGAGGAGGACCGACGGGCTCACCCAGTCATCTGCCCATGGGTTCCCTAGCACAAGCTCCAGGTGACAGTAGTGAGGGGATTTATCAAGACTTCTACAAAGGTAGCTGGGTTCTCAGGTTAGATTGGCAAGGGAGGATTTACAGCGTCCTTTAGGGTTGACATTAAATCAATTTGCATGGTTCATCTGGTGAATCAAGCCTCACAAGGCAGCAGCTAAACAGGTTCATAGGGAAACGGCTTTCAGGCAAAACTGTAAATACCATAATGTGTGCTAGCACTTTGGATGTTGAGGATTGATCAGCTTTACACAAAGAGGCGGGCAGTTTGGCATGGTGGTTATTGCAACATGCTGGGAGACTGAGGCAAAAGGATTCCACGTTCAAATGAACCCCCCCTCCCCTTTTCTTCTGGTACCAGAAATTGAACTCAGGACCTTGCACTTGCCAGGCTGGCGGTGTGCCACTGAGCTATTCCCCAGCCCAATTCCATTTTTCTTAAAATAAATAAATATTTTTTAAAAAACAAAACTGGGGCTGTAGTCTCCTGGGAAGGCCCTAAGTAAACATAAAAAAAGAGAGGGGAAGCAGCTTATTTTTGCCCTCGCCTGCCCTCTTCTGGCAAGAGGGGAGAAGTGCAGGCAGGACAGGGAAAGCTGGCCCCTGTCAGCCCCCACCACCAACCCCACTGTTCCCAGCAACTCTTCCCCTAGGTTCCCCTCTAACTTCCCAGAGGGCCCCCAAGCTCTATGCTTCCAGACAGGTCTTAATTATTAAAAAGGAACAGCCTGGGCTAAGGAATGAAAAGGAGACACTACTACGCATGTAGGAGTAACTTCCAAGTCCTCGTCTCGGTCCAAGAAGCCAGTATTTGTCATCCCAAAGTTACGTTATTGGAATCCCATCAAGTTGATTCCAATTTCAATGCAACCCACGTGAAAATAAAGACACTAAATTGTATTTTCAATCATCGGGGAGAATGGGGCTCTAAGTCCAGCCACGAATGGCTTTCCAGAACTAAGAGAGTGACCCAGGGCCTCACCCGGTTTTTATTCAGTGGGGGAGTGGCTTGAGGAGGATTGACTGAGAATTGTGGGAAGCAGGTGACTACAGTGAGCTGAGCTACATTTACCTCTGCTATATGCAGAGACAGTAATCTGCTTTATGCTAGTGAGATAGTATCTGATGTTTTGGGGGGACTGGTGCTTCAGCTTTGATGTAGTCTTTCAAGCCCCAGGAAGTCATGGCCTCTGTCTCGAGGCTCGATCCCAGCTGGCGGTGCGGAGCATTGGCTCTTCCGTCCTGTCTCTACCCGGCTCAGGTTAAAGAGCAGCAGGTATAGGTTACCAGGGAAACACACGCCACCTCCAAAGACTATCACCAGCACCTCAGCTGGACCAATACACATTGCTTAAGGCCAATTGAAGGATAAACAGAAGTCATGGCCAGCTCTGTACAGAACAGTATGAGGAAACAGGGTCAGGCTCAGTCAAAATGGTGACAGTCGCTCTTCTTTCAAGGAAAGCTGCTCAGGTGGTCCTCCACAACACAAGGTTCAAGTTGTTAAAACATAGCCCTGACGATGCCGAGAGCCCGCAAAGGTGCGGAGACGCACGCTGGAACTCTCACGCGCCGCGCTGGGAAGATGAACTGGCACAAGCACAAGGTGGATTTCTGGTAAAAACGAGCACGACACCGCAGCCGTCCCAGTCCTGGGGTCCAAAGAAATGCAAATTCACATTTGCACTTAGGCATATTCAGAGGCATCTATTTCTGTGATCTTCTTGAAAAATCAAAATCGTAGGAATAAGTGGTTACCAAGGTCAGGAAGTAGGGTTGACCTGAAAGGGACCGAAGGGAACTTAATGTTCTCTATGTTGATTGTGGCGATGGTTACATGATTGTAGGTGTTTTGTCAAAACTCATACAGCTGTGTAGAGAGCTTGTGTGTGTGTGTGTGTGTGTGTGTGTGCGCGCGCGTGCACGTGCATATATCAAATCTCAATAAACCTGGCTTTTAAAAAGCAATGCTTTGTTTTTCCTGGAACTTGGTCCCCATGCCCTCAAAGACCCTTGCACACATCATCTAAGCCGACTGACCCCAGGGTAGGTGTCAGTCTGCTTTCTCCTTGCCCACTCCCAGCTCCTGCTCCCCCCATTACTGAGCCCAGCTAGAAGCTGGAGTGAAGGAGTCCATTCACAGGGCTCAGAGAAGCAGGCTCCTGTGGGCCTGGGGCTGTGGTGACAGTGACCAGAAAGGGCAAGCCAAGCACACCTGGGCAATCCAGGCCCCAGCTCCCCGGGCACAGGTGGGCCATGCTCACCTTGTGCCCTAGTGATCTTTCCAGATTTCTGGCCACCGGTCACCCTGGGCACATACTGTTCCTCCACCAAGACCCTTTATCAACTACACCTCTTGGGCACCACTGACATTTTCATCACTTTCTTTGCCAGAGTCTGAGGGCTCCATTCCAAGGCCTGCCATCATCCTAGTGACCCCAGCTTCTTCAAACAACCCTCTCTACATCCAGGACACCCCCATCTTCTGTGAGTTTCATTTTCCTTTGTCTTCTGCGATCAGTCCGAGGGCCACCCCCAAGCTCTCATCAGCACCTAGAGACGTCCTCCAGCCACAGCCCCCAAACTGTACACTCACAGCCCCTCACTGTCACAGTTTCAGCTGTGCTGGTAGAAACACAAGACTTGCGGGTCTGCCATGCAGGGTAACCCATTACTCACAGCAAGAGCATGGGACAGATTATTAGAATTTTTCAGCTGGTTCCTTGAGTCCCAGTTCCCGTGGAGCAATGCGAAGAGGATTAGGCGACACCCGGGCACTCAGTGGTTGAATTGTAGGAAAAGAATGCTGATTTTAGGAACCAGGATCTTTCATGAGTGATACATATGCCTGTGGTCTGTAGAGTAATGGTGTAGGGCAAGGTGGTGCATGGCTGTACTCCCAACACTGGGTGGGCTGAGGTAGGAGGATCACTGTGAGTCTAAGGCCCACTTGAGCTGCATAGTGAGATCCCAGGGCAGAAAGAAAAGAGACAGACTAAAATGACTCATCAGACACAAGAGATTCATCTTGTCTCTTTCTTCCAAGTCTCTATGCAGATTTGCCCTTTGCTCTGGTGGAAAATAAAGCAAACCAGGTTGTTAGCTGGTTTATTATAAAACTTACTATGAAACACGTGAGGAGCGGTGGTACGTGTCTGATCTCAGCACTCAGGAGGCTGAGGCAGGCTGGGCTACACAGTGAATTCAAGGCCAGCCTGAACTACAAAGGGAGACCTTGCCTCAAAAAAACGAAATAAAAGTCAGAGGTGCTGGCGCATGATTCTAATCCCACCACTGGGAGCCTGAGGTAGGAGGATGGCCACAAGTTCGAGGCTACCCTTGGCTACCTAGAGAGTCCAAGGCCAGCCTGGACTACTCAGCAAGACCCTGTTTCAAAACAAAAGAAAACAACAGCAACAACAAAATACTTAAATAAATATATATAGTGGCTCCTTGGTTCACAAACTTAATTCTTTCCATCTGGTTCATTCCATTGTAGGTAGGTAGGTAGAGGGGTAGGTAGGTCAATAGATACATAAATAGATACACAGATAGATAGTTGGTAGATTCCTAAAGCCCAGTCTTCTCAGTTGAAGTGTGAATCTTTGTGTGTTTAATATGTATGTGGCCCGGGGCATTGTTACTGCAGTCCCTGCAGAACATGGGGAACTAGTGCACACGTGACACTTTGAGGCTTGCTGAGCTGTGGTAAGAAAGTGTTTCCTTTTGACCCCGGAGTCTCCCATCCTTTGCCAGCAGCCCACCTTTGGCTTATAAACCGGATAAAATCAACTCCTAGCAAAACACCTATGACATAGTCAAAGTGAACTTAGTTTCTCAAACAAGTCATGCCCTGGGGGGACATTACCTGTGCTATTCTCTGAGTAGAACGTTTTGGTCTGTCTCTTGTCTCTCTGCCCTGGGATCTCACTATGCAGTTCAGGCGGGCCTCAAACTTGCAGCGATCCTCCTGGCTGCCTCAGCCGTCCCAGTGCTGGGATTACAGGTGCGCAGCGCCATGCCCCATGTAATTTATTTTTATGTATATATGTATGTATGGATGTATTTATTTGAGGTACTGGGGGTTGAACTCAGGACCTTGCACTTGCCAAACAAGCACTTATTCTCCTGAGCTATCTCCCCGGCCCCGCCCCATATAATTTAGAGAGGCTTATTAAGTATTTGTGGAAGGAATGTAGCGTTATTGCAGGACTACGCATAGCATGGTATGCACATAGAAAGGAAGTGCGGGGAAGCCAAGGGGGTGGGGTGGGAAAGGCCTCTCCAAGAGAGGAGGGGCACACTGCTTAGGCAGTTTGAGAAGAGGGAAGGGAGAGGTGGCTCTGGTAGTGGGAAGTGTCTATAGGAGGGACGGTGCCTTTGAGAAGGCCACTCCGCCAGACTGCAACTAGACCCCAGCGCCGAAGTGGCAGGAAATAAAGCTCACAAGCAAGCAGCCCTGACTTTCATTTCAGGCTAGGACAGTGTTAAAGATACGTGGCACATCCTCCACCACAGGAAGCCACGAAAAGGTTAAGGGGCAGAAGAAAACGGGAACGTAAGAAAACCTGTCTTGTAGCGTCGGCTCCTGCAGGGGGCAGGTGTGTGGGCAGGCAGGCCAAGTGCCTGACACACGGCACGACTCAATCGTTTGCCGGCCCTTCCTCCCCAGAGCCTCGCCTGCGGGGGGCTGCAGGCCCGGCTCCCCACCGCGGCGGGATCGGTCCGGGCTGCAGGTGGAGGCGTGGAGCCCCGCCCCGCGCGCCGCGCATGCGCCCTTCCGCCCGGTCGGCGCGCTCCGACGCGCGGGGCGCTCTAGGGCTCCGCGGCGCTCTATGGTGCGCTCTTCGCCCCGGAAGTCGTTCCGTGGCTGGGGTGGTAAGGTCGGGCCATGGTGGGGCCGAGGTTGGGAAGATGGCGTGGCGAGGCTGGGCACACAGAGGCTGGGGCTGCGGCCAGGCGTGGGCCCCGCGGGTGGGCGGCCACATCTCCGAGGAGCTCCCCACGGGCCTGGCCCTGCCGCGGCTGTCCGGACGCAGGTAATGGCCGTCGTCCCCTCCGCCCGGAGCTCCGGCCGCGCGTCCTCGGAGCTCTCGGGCCGCCCCCCTGCGCGTCCTTTTCAGCTCACTCGCCGCCAACCCCCTCCGCTCTTCCTTAGCCCTCGTTCCGTTCTCCCCTCTGGAGGCGCCGCCTGGCCCCGGGCGGGTCGGACGGTGACTGCCCTGCCGGCCTTGCGAGAGCCTGCGCTTTCCTTTTACCACTGGGAGGAGGGACGGGTCGGGAAAGGGGATGAACGGGAGACTTGCTTCCTGAGCGGGTAATACTGAAATATTTTAAGGGAAGCAGTTGTCCAATGGCAGAATGGCAGAGCCTAGTAGCCTAATTACAAAGCGTGTATTCCACCGCACCACTTCCCTTCTTTAGGTGTAGAGAAGACGGGGTAAGAGGAATACAGCGTTGTCTCTCTTGCAGAGACCTAAGCAAAGTTGACCTGTTGAAACATTGAGACAGTGGAACATTTGGTTTCTCCATGCTATGGGAAGAAATCTACCCCTGCTTGCGGGAGGAGAAACTGTATGAAGATCGTGGTCTATCAGTGTTGCCTGATTTTTCTATAAGGGTTCATTCGGTTCTACATTGAGAGAAATCCTTCAGTGTTCTAACAGTCGGATGTGTGCTGGCTTTTGCATTGCATTCAGATTTTCAGCCTTCCCAGTAATTGACTTGGTTAGATGGGTGACATAAGGTTCACCTGATGGTGGGGAGGAACCGTGAGAGGTCATCAGCACCTGGGCTAGTTAGGTGTGAGTGATTAAGGCTTTGCTATGGTGGAGACATTGCCTAGCAGCACGACATTACCTAATAGCTAGTAGGACAGGAACCCAGCACCCGAAAGCTGAGGTTGGAAGATGGCAAGTTTGAGGCCAGCCTCCTGGGCTACGTAATGCAACCCTGTCTCAGAAACTATTCAGGGGCCGGGTAGATGGCTCAGTGGAATAAGCGCTTCCCTGGCAAGTGCACGGGCCTGAATTCAATCCCTGGTTCCGGGGGGAAAAAAAAAAACTATTCAGCTGGAGTGTTTGTACAATATGTACCAGGCCACACCCAAGTCCTACAAAAGCAGAATCAAGAGGGATAGGAGAACTGGAGGAACCTGTACTTTTCTGGTTCCTGTATTTCCTAAAATCTATACAATATTTATAAGCACTCCAAGTGCATTTTATCAGACATTTGTGCAAAACTTGTGTTTGTTATATCTCAGTGGTAAAATAACATGCATCGTCAGGCATTGTGCAGATCCTGGAGAGAGGGAGAATGAGGTGGTTAGGTGGGGTGAGGGTGGATTTCAGTGGTCCTGATATACTGCATGTATTTGAGATCCCATTTGAGGTTGCATAGTGTGAAGGAGAAGAAAAGGTGAATGTCTTATTTAGAAGCAGGTTTATTAAATGAGAGTGTACACATCTCTAGTAGTTTTAGAAAGGGAAGCAAAAGGAAACTTGATGAAGAGGACCTTCCAGTAAAACTGGGTGGGAAGACCATTTGGAGCAAGAAATGACACAAGAAACGATGTTGAAGATTAGCACTTGATTTTTAAATGCCATTTATATGGAAAGTTGACATTTTTGTAGTAGCAAAATGCATTAGATGAGAATGTAGGTGAGCCTGAAGTAGACAGAGCATGTGTTTGCTCCTTCCCTCTGGAAATACTGAACATTATAATCTTCCTAAGTCTGGTTTGAGTTTTAGTGGTTCTAAAATTATTCAGAGGAATGACCCAAGCTGTGTGATTCCGATGTCATAGGCCCAAAGCAGGGCCAGGAATTGACATTTTTGCAAGCACTCTTGAGAAGTGATACTAGGCTCTATAAACTGTGTCCTTCCAGGATGTCCACCAGTCAGCATTTTAAAAGGATTGTAAAACAAAACACTAATAGTGATTTCAGTAGTTGAGAGAGACTAAAATATTTAATATCTGGCTTTTTTGGGGGGGCTAGCTCTGTTCACCCTGGGGCGGGGCTGGCCCAGCCTGTGGTGCTGAGGGTGGACCCTCATCCCTGTGCTTGCCTAAGCAGGTACTTTAGACTGCTGAGCTGTCTCACAGGCCCCACTATCTGGCTTTTTACAGGAAAAAAAATCTGAAGCTTTTCAGAAATGTTGCTGTTGTCAAGCTTCTGGTGGTACTTCTGAAAGATATGCTTTAAGCTTGAAAGTAGAAGGCTGCATAATTTACCAATTGTATGAACTGATCCAAAGGAGTGGCTTATTGTAGCACCTACACAGAGTTTAATTTTTAGATTGAGGTGGCAGTTTTAAAATATCCTTGTGGAGGCTGATGAGATGGCTCAGTGGTCTAAAGCACCTACTTAGAACAAGCTGTAGCTAAAGCACAGGGACCGCGGTTCAATCCCCCAGCACCACATGCCAGCCAGCCCTGCCCCCTGGTGGGCTGAGCTGGCCACACACACACACATAAATAAATTTTAAAAATTTAGTTAAAATATCCTTGTGGGGGCTGGAGAGATGGCTCAGTGGTCTAAAGCACCTACTTGAATCAAGCTTGGTAAAGCACAGGGACCTCGGTTCGATCCCCGGCACCACATGCCAGCCAGCCCCGCCCCCTGGTGGGCTGAGCTGGCCACACACACACACAATAAATAAATGTAATAAATAAAAATAAATATTTAAAAAATAAAATAAAATATCCTTGTGTATGATATAATTGTCAGGTAACTTGCATTATTTTCCCTGTTTAACTCACCACCTGTTAAGATGAGGTTGAAGAAAATAATTTTGGTATGCAAAATTTTATGTAGAATCCTTTTTTTTTTTTTAATGAATTTAGGACAGGGTCTACAGGGTGTCACTACGTAGGTCAGACTTGTAGTGATCTGCTGTTTATAGCCTCCCAAGAGCTGGAATTACAGACGCACGCCCAGTCTCAGTTGCCATCTCAGCGTACTCTGGGTGGTGGGCCCTGCACAGCAGGCCCAGGATTGAACCCTGACCACTGCACTCTGCCAAAGCAGGCGCTAGAATTCACTTTCAACTCCCAAATACATTTACTTTAAATAGAATGAATCAAATATATTGTGCGCTTAAACATGACATCTAGGGGCCAGGGAGATGGCTCAGTGGAATAAGTGCTTCCCTGGCAAGGGCAAGGGCCTGAGTTCAATCCCTGGTTCCACAAAAAAACCCCAAACAAAACATGACATCTTGTCTCCATTTAAATGTTAGGCTATTTCTATTCAATTTTGTTCATATAAAATTTTAGTAATGTAGACACTAGTGCTGTCTTGTATGTATATCATATTTTTAATCATTTTTATCTGGATTTTCTTTTTTGTGTGTGGTACTGACTACCAAACCCAGGGCATCCCCGTGCTACGTGACTGTTACTGCTGAGCTACATCCATGCCATTTTCATTTGTTTTTTTAAGGTAGGGTTTCACTGAGTTGCCAGCCTGGGTTTGCACTTTGAATCCTCCTATCTTGGCCTCCCAAGTAGTGGATATTACAGGCTTGCACCACAGCACTCAGCTTTGTCACTGTTAAAAAATGGTTCACAGCAATGTTATGTTACCATTAAGGCAACAAATATATGGATGTATTTTCTGTTTACAAGCTATGGGAGCATGCTAAAAACTAGTTGTAATAAAAAGAATCATGTGGCTAGCAGTAACGCAGGTGTTCATGGGCTGTCTGCACTTTGAGTTAAATTGCTGCCACAAATCATTGTGCTTCTCAGAAGGACGGAAGCCGCAGAGCTGCATGAGTTGGTGTATGCTCAGGGGACCAATTCCTTATCACTGTTATTTGTGTTGCTTTACTTTCCTGGTTTCCTAATTTATTTTAGGTGAATAATTCAGTTTTTCATCTTAGTACTCATCTAAATGGAAGGGGTCGGGGACATGGCTCAGTGGAATAAGCACTTCCCTGGCAAGCACAAGGGCCTGAGTTCAATCCCCGGTCCCCCCCCCCTCCCCCCCCCCAAAAAAAAAAAAAAAAAGACAAAAAATTCATCTAAATGGTAGCACTAAATAACTTGAAACTGAAAAAGGTTTAGACATTTGCAGTTTAAGACATTATTGTTCATGCGATTTATTTTGCCTCTTAGGAAATTTATGGGGCTGGTGAGATGGCTCAGTGGTCTAAAGCACCTACTTAGAACAAGCTTAGCAAAGCACAGGGACTGCGGTTCAATCCCCCAGCACCACATGCCAGCCAGTCCCGCCCCCTGGTGGGCTGAGCTGGCCACACACACACACACACACACACACATACACACAAATAAATAAATAAATTTTAAAAAAAGGAAATTTACGTACTCCCAGCACTCAGCAGGCAGAGGCAGGAGCATCACCTTGAGTTTGAGGCTACCCTGAGCTATGTAGTGAGTTCCAGGCCAGCCTGCACTAGATCCTGTATTAAAAAAAAAAAAAAAAAAAAATTAAAAGCTCTGTAAGAAGACTGTAGCTGTCATGTAGTAGGTCATGATAAGCTTTTCCTTCCACCTAGGAGCATCCTTCTGCCAATGGAAGGCTCAGCTCCAGCTCAGCCCTGTAACTGTCCTAAGCATTTGGAAGAAGTGATTGGTTTATGCTTTTGAAAGACCAGAGGGGTGACCCTGAGGTGATACTGTGGTGGGCAGTGAGCTTCCAGACCATTTTCAGTTCTTTCCAGTTCTTGTACAAGAGGAACATTGGTGTGGCAGAGGCAGCTGAGTGTAATAAAGTTTCAGGGACAAAATTATGATCTTAGCAAGCAGCCTCACGCTGTCCAAAAGGAAAACTGGAAGGAAAGGGAAAGGACACGGTGTGAGATGGGCTTAAGGATTACAAATGTGCGCCAGGCCTAGGATGCCCCCTTTGGGCCTTTCAGAGCATGACTGACAGTGTGATTAACAAAGTTGGCCTGGGACATTACTCAGGCTGGGGGCAGTGGTCCCTTAGCCCTCATTGTACTGTCTGATACTGTGGGCCAGATCCAGCAGATAGATTCCAGGCTCTTGTGTATGAGCAAGGTAGAAAGCTTTCAACCTGTAGTAAATGAAAAGTAGCTACATTTACTGAAAGTGACATGAAGATAGATTCAGGGTTATGGGAATCACCCCCTGAAAAACTTCTGTTTTGGAGTTGTTTTTTTACCCAGTCCCATAGGATTAATATGGAGCTAACTATTCTGATTTAAATAGCATTGCTAGAAAAGTGGGGAATCATTCGTGAGCCAACAGTAAGGGATCACGGAGGACAAAAGTTGAGCCAACTTCTTTTACAAAAGGGCAGATAGGGAGTAGAACTGAATATATTTTTAACACTCAAAAATGTAAGACCACTCCTAGCTGGAAGATCACATCCGCTTCTCAGCTTGCGGTTTGTCAACTCCTAATTTAGGAGCTTTTTAGAAACTTATGTTAGGGGGCCGGGGAGATGGCTCAGTAGAACAAGTGCTTCCCTGGCAAGCGCAAGGCCCTGAGTTCAGTCCCCGGTTGCCTGTACCTGAGAGTCATTTGGGAGACCCGTGAATGCTGAGGCCTTGGCCCCAATCCTAAAGAGTCTTAATTGACTTGAGATGGTGCCATCGTGTGGGTTTGTTTTGTTTTGTTTTGTTTTGTTTTGTTTTGTTTTTAGAGCACACCAGGAAGTCTGATGCTCCCAGGACTGAGAGTTACTGCTCCAGATGCTGTGGTGGCCCATGCCTGGCACATGCTTGCAGAATCTTAACTGCCTCTACCACTGCTGCTACATCAGTGAAAAACTGTGGCTGCAGTATTTCTAGCTCCTTCAGCGCTGGAGTCCATTTCTTATTTGCAGCTGGCTGGCTTAGTAGCTTATGGTGGAAGTAATGTTGAGGAAGGTCCAGAATCTTTTAAAAGTCAAAAGGCCTTTTGACTTTTGCCCCTGGAGCCTGGTCCCTGGCACGGTGTTGCCCCTGCTAGACTACTGCATGATGGGAGGCCACGTGCCACGGTGGCAGTGCTGACCTCTTTGATTCTCTAGCTGCTGCCAGTCAGGTAGGTGACTGGCTACATCAGTGGCCTAGGTGAGTGCAGCAGGACTGCCCAGCTAAGGGCACTTCCCCCATGTGGGATCACTGGAAGCAGTTGGGTTTGGTTTTAGGCCAATGTGTTTTAGGGTTGGTTGTTACGCAGCGACGAGTCAACTGGGAAAGCTGCTGCTAGCTCAAGATCTTCCGACTGCAGGTTTGTGCTGCTTCCAGCATTCCCCTCGCTAGCAGAACTGGTCCCTCAAATCTTACCTTAGTTTTGAATTCAAGTATTGTGCCATGTGTCCGATTAGCATCTGATTACATCTGGAACCCTAAGTACAAGGCATAGTATTAAATTCTGTCCAACAAATTCCATATGCACAGCTGTAATTTTATATATATGCACAGACATTGTATAATATATATAATCAATCCATTAAGTTGTAACTTAACTCTGAGTTCAGCTTGTTTAACACACTTAGTGTCCTTAGGTCTTTAACTTGTTGCTAAGGAAATTCTCAAGATAAGTAAACTAGGCTAATGGTCTGACTTTACTTGAAGTACAGATTCTCAACCGAGTATGTTTGTGTTTCTTTTCAGACATCATGCTTCAATTTTTTTTTTTTTTTTTTTCTGGAACTGGGGATTGAACTTAGGCTCTTGTGCTTGCCAGGCAAGCGCTTATTGTACTGAGCTATCTCTCCAGCTCTATGCTTCAGATTTTTAAGTGAATTGATGAGATGCAGAGGTAGTAGTCTTTCTGTCTCTTAATTAGAATTAGAGGCTTTGAAGGTTGTGTGTGGTGGCACATGCCTATGATCCCAGCACTGGGGAGGCTGAGGCAGGAGGACTGCTATGAATTTGAGGCCAACCTGAACTATATACATCAAGACCTCAAAAGGGGAGGGGAGCGTTGAGCATATTTGGTAGTTAAGAGATAGAAGGAAATTTTCAGTTAAAATCGAAGTGGAAGAGTCAATTGTGTAGTCTCTTAGAAGCTCGGAATGGGAGACATGAGCAGTGGTGACAGACGTTTGGAGGAGGTCAGGCTTTGGTAGCTATTCCCAAACGGTGAATTGGAATGAGGTAAGAAGAACTCATCGATTTACAGTGGTCAGTACGGAGTAAAGGAAGTACTTGTTTGAATTTGGAATGAAAGATTCCAGATACGATCTGAAAAGATAATACATTTGAATGCATACTCTGGAAATTGATTGGACTTCAAAGTAAAGCCATTCTGTACTGATTGAAACTAACAATTTAGGAGTTCTCTAGCTGTTTTCAAGACTGGAATCTTTCTGTAGGGTGGATACAAGTTACTTTGTTGAGTGATACAAATTGTTTTGTTGAGTGATACATAAAGAAGCACCCTCTCAAGTTGCTAAAGTCAGGGCACATCTTTTCTTTTTTTTATTTTTTTATTTTTAACATTTATTTATTGTGTGTGTGTGGCCAGCTCAGCCCACCAGGGGGCGGGGCTGGCTGGCATGTGGTGCTGGGGGATTGAACCGCGGTCCCTATACTTTGTCAAGCTTGTTCCAAGTAGGTGCTTTAGACCACTGAGCCATCTCTCCAGCCCCGTGGGCACATCTTTTCGAGTAAGATGTCATGACTGAGTCCTGTCTGGGTTAGGAGTCCTGGCTCTTGTGATTGCAAAATAAACAGAAGGTGGTGACACGGACCAGCTGGAGGCTAAAGGAGCCTGATGTTTACAAGATGCCACTGTTTCTAACTCGGTATTTTCCTTCACAGGTTTAACTTCTTTATTCAGCAAAAATGTGGCTTCAGAAAAGCACCCAGGAAGGTTGAACCTCGAAGATCAGACACAGGGTTGAGTGGTGGAGCATACAAGAGAAGTGCTCTGATTCCTCCTGTGGAAGAAACAGTCTTCGATCCTTCTCCCTATCCGATAAGAACTCTGTTGAAACCTTTTTTTTTTACTGTTGGGGTAAGAGTTTGCTGCGCTGGACGTTACAAGCTTTTGGCGAGTGTAGTGGTCAAGCTCCGTGTTCTGCTTGAGCTCCTAGAGCAAGAGCGGGTGGGGGTGAGGATGTGCTGGGCTCTGGGATTCTGATTTCAGAATGAACTCAGTAATTGCTTTCAGCTTCTGGCCAGCTTACCGGAGCAGTAGAGAAGAAATGTGTGGGCCTTCTGTTTGATACAGTGTTTGAAGTGTTACTAGTTTGATGTTTTGAATTTTATTTAGGGGTTTGTTTCCGGAAGCAGGCCTCAGGGTGCCATGATGTTAATAAAATGGAAAAACAGTAAAATGTTCTTGTCACCTATAGGTTTTACTGTGCCAAGTGTACCTCCTGTTGGTTATAAGTAATGAAAATAATGCCCTTGGAACTATATATAGATCTGTTTTCCTCTTGAATTAACTTTGTAATATTTTTAATTTTATGTAGTTCACAGGCTGTGCATTTGGATCAGCTGCTATTTGGCAATATGAATCACTAAAATCCAGGGTCCAGAGTTATTTTGATGGTGTAAAAGCTGACTGGTTGGATAGCATAAGACCACAAAAAAAAGGAGACCTCAGAAAGGAGGTAAAGATCAACATCTTTGTTCTTACGAATCGCAGTTTGTGACATCTGGTTATACAGCGTTTTTAGTTAATGGCCACGTTCCATCCACAGATGTGAAGTCAGTGCTCCTCACACTCTTGTTAGAGTCCTTCGTGACGGTGAGTGGCTACTCACGTGCTGAGTGTCTGGAAGCATCGTGCTTCACAGTCCCCAGGATGTTGTCATGTGACCCACATGCATCCATATCACACAGACAGTTGCTAACAAGGAAAGCCCAGCTGTTTGGCCCTTCTACGCTTCAAAGACTGTGTTCTCTACATCCCCTTACTAGTTTAGACTGCACCACAATCCCCACGCGTTGTTTTGAAAAAACACAGCTTTGGGGACCAGGGATTTCTGAGAGCTGCTCGGGGGCGGTGTTACCGCCACACTTGTGCTGGATCTTCACGAGCGAGCATTTCTGCTGGTGTTCAGGTGGCTGCGGCTGCAAGGGCAGACACAGAGCTCGCAGATCTTGCACCTCGGATGCAACTGCAGCCCTTGTCCCTCTTACCTAAATTTTTGTTAAAAAAAGTTTCCTTTTAGATAAAGCATACAAGTATTTCACTTGCTAATACTTATTGAACACTCAGACCATAGGTTAATGTGTTTCTAGCTCCACTTGGCATTCAGCCACCTTTTATGGCTTTTTTTTTTTTTTTTTTTTTAGGTGGTGGTTGTTTTTTGCAACAGGTTCTCAATGTGTGGTCCAGGCTGGCCTTGAGCTCACTGTAGAGACAAGTCTGTCCTTGAAATTACAGCGACCCTCCTGCCTCAGCCTCATAAGTGCTAGGATTACAGACATGTGCCACCATGCCCTGCCCTCAGACACCTCTTGCTAAGCCAGTTTAGAGCGAGGTTGATGTTCTCTCTACGCTTCGCTTCCTAGAACAGTCCAGTCCTGGTGGGCAGGAGCCTGAGGAGGAAGCCCGGGCTCTGTTCTCACTCGTGACAGTGTGAGCTCCTAGATGTAGGGCGGGTTCCTTGCCCTGGTTTTGCCATAAGCGGGTCGAGGAGCCCGGCCGGGCCTTGTTGTGGAGAGGCTTATGCTACGGGAGCAGGTAATATTTACATACGAAAACAGTACTGGGTGGATTTTTATTCACTATAATACTTCTTAGAAGATAGTAAAACCAACCTATTCCATAATCCTAGGTCTCTCTGAAAGCTACAAGTTTCTACTATATCTCTATACATGAAGTTTTATTGCCCAAATGGACCCAAATAGTTCTAAGGCAGAAGAAATATACGTAATTTATTTTCTTTCTTTTTTTTTTTTTCTTCAGTACAAGGGGTTCCGTTATTTGATTTGATTTGATTGATTGATTGAGACAGGGTCTTGCTCTGTAGTCCATGCTGGCCTTGAACTCAGAAGTGACCCTTCTGCCTCAGCATCCCAAGTGTTAGGGTTACAGGTGTGCACCACCATGCCCAACGCACTTTATTCTTATTTTGAAACAGGGTCTTAAGTTACCCACACTGATCCTTCCTGCCTTAACCTCCTGAGTAGCTAATATTAGACATCATTACAGCACCCAGCTTCAAAGACAGACTTTAAAAAAAAATGTGATAGGTTATGTAGTCTTTGTACATTAAGATAATTGAAATAGTATGTAAATATAATGTGGAAAATGAAAATCTTAATCAGATGTGGTAATGTGTGCCTGTAAGCCCAGCTGTTTGGGCCGCTGAGGCAGGAAGACAGTTTGGACCCAGGAGTTTGAGGCCACCCTCAGCAACAAAGTGAGATTCTGTCTCAAAGGGGTTGGGGGCAAAAGGTCCTGGGACCCCCATTCATATCCCCATTCATACCACTGCATGGGAGTAAGGTCTGAGAGCTCAAAAAATTATAGACACAATTACATACATACGGCTCTGTACTTTTTTTTTTTTTTTTTTTTTTGCAGTACCGGGGTTCAAACTTGGGACCTTGTGAATGCCAGTTAGGTGCTTATGCCACTGAGCTGGCTCCCTGGCCCTGCTCTTTGAGCGGGGACAGTACTGGGAATCAAACTCAGGCATATCTTATGGCAGTAGCTATTAAAATTTAGACAATGTCTTGCTGAGTTTCCCAGGGGCCTTGAACATGTCCTATTTTAGTCTCCTGAGCAGCTGGGATTACAGGCCTGTTTCACCACGCCTGGTTTAGCTTTTTTTTGGTTTTTTTTTTTTTTTTAATTTAAAAACTTTGATCATGGGAAGTTTCAAATAGATACAGAAGTAGAATAGTAGTAATAATAATAAATGAGCCATCAGCATTCAGTTTCAAGGGTACCAGAGCATGCGTAGTTTTGTTTTCCATCGGGCCTTTCATTCCCCCCTCTTCTTATCATCGTGTACTGTTGCACAAGTCCTAGGCATATTTCATTTGTTTGTTTATTTTTGGCAGAACCGAGGATTGAACTCAGGCCCTTGTGCTTGCCAGGCAAGCGCTTATTCTACTGAGCTATCTCCCTGGCCCTAAGCATACTTCAGAGAAGTTGCAGTGTGTGTCTCTGAACATTTAGGGTCCTCAGTGTCTTTATGACCCTTAGTACTGTTATATCTAAAAATAGGCATTAGTACAAAATATTCTGAGAATTTTATTCTCTCTAATATGAGGCAGGGTCTGTGCCCAAGCCAGTTTGGAACCTCTATAAGACACCTATACCTCTTCCAGTCTCCTGCATATTTATTGTGGTTATTATTGGTCTCCAGTGATTTTGTTTCAGGTTGAGGAATTTCTCTCATACACAGGCATTTTCCTTCTGGGTTTTCATGTTCACAGCCTGAAAGTATTTCACATGTGGTGACACGCCGCTTTCCTTCTGTTATAGATTAACAAGTGGTGGAATAACCTAAGTGATGGCCAGCGGACTGTGACAGGTTTGTGTTAGCTTACATGTTTTAGCCATTCAAGGGAAGAGAAATCAATCCAAAAGGTACAGTATGTCACAGGCAATGGCTTCCATGTGCTCATCAGTAGAAGATAAAGACAGTATCTGTACCTTTAGGCTCATGTTACAGTAAGAAAAGTATAGCCTGAGGATGCATGACTTCCAGGACATTTGCTTCCTAGTTCTCATGTAGTGTGATGCTGACCAAATGGTCGGCTTGTTGTAGAACCACTCAGGAGCAAAAATTTTTTTTTGAACAGGGTTTCACTGTGTAGCCCAGGTTGGCTCTGATATTACCGCAGTCCTCCTGGCTCAGTCTCCAAGTGTTGGGATTACAGACATGTGTGCCCCGCTATGCCTGGCTAACTCATGAGTAATTTTCACTTTGTCATTAAGGATGCTAAAGGAAACTTTGATTCTGTACACAGGTTACTTTATACATATTCTTACGGGCTGGGGAGATAGCTCAGCAGCTTAGGTGCCTGCCTAGCAAGTGCAAGGTCCTGAGATTGATTCCCAGTACCACAAAAAAACCCAAAAACAAATCGGATATACATATTCTTTCCCAGGGTTGTGTAAAGGGTAGTTGTCTCCCTTTTCATAGATAAACTTTCAGAGAAAGAAAGTTTTAAAAGTTAGTCTGCTAGTAAGTAGTAAGGTTGAGATTAAAAACCAAGGCCTATTTTAAAAGCCAATTTTCTGTCTGTTCTACCATAATATTTGTAAGATCCTCTTTAAATAGGCGGTACATGTCATCATGATTAGTTTTTCTTCTGCTGCTGCTGACTCAGCCTGCCCTGGGGGCAGTGCTGGCGGCATGTGGTGCCAGGAGTCAGACTCCACTTTACACTGCTGAGCTATCTGGCCAGACCCCATGATTAATTTTGTTCCTTGTAAATTTTTATGGAAAGAGATCTGGCTTTTAAACATTTGTACTATGTTTTGTGGACAGGGCTATTTGAGAAGCTTGGGAAAGTGGATTTGTAAGTTCTTTAAGTTTTATAGATAGAATATACTTATAGAAAATAAGTACTTTTCTCACACAAGATTAGATTAATGTCCTTTTAATTGCCTGTAGCAGAGAAGAAGGGTATTGCTCTTTCTTCATTGAGGCTGTACCCTCTGCAAGTCTTAATTGCTCTCATCTTTTGGAATCTGATTTGGTCTTCACACTTATAGTTAGCATAGCTTCCTTTGGAGAGTGCTTTGTTTTTCTGATCAGTGCAACTGTTGAGAAAGCTGGGGAGATAGCTCAGTAGAATAAGTGCTTGCCTGCTAAGTGCAAGGTCCTGAGTTTAATCCCCCATACTGAAAAAAGAAAACACAAACACCACACTATCCTTACACATGTAACATCCTGAGGACAGGGGCTGGTGACATGGCTCGGTGGTCTAAAGCACCTACTTAGAGCAAGCTTGGCAAAGCAAAAGGACCGAGGTTCAATCCCCAGCACCGCATGCCAGCCAGCCCGCCCCCTGGTGGGCTGAGCTGGCCACACACACACACACAAAATAAATAAAACCATCCTGAGGACAGAGCTGAGACCCCATCTTCTTTAGCGTCTAGCATATTCCTTGCATACAGAAGGAGCACTCAGTTAAATTCTGTTGAGTGACTATTAAGTGAGGTTGTAAGTCAACAGATTGAATTTTTTTCAAACCATGTTCTCATACCTGCCACTATAGAATTAATGAGTCAGTGTGGCAATGTAATTATTTCAAAAGCTCTGTAAAAGCACATCTGTTTCCACTGAGACAGTGTGTCTTGTTTGCTTTCTGAAAGTAACCAAGCTGGGGAGATGACTCAGTAGAATAAGCGCTTACCTGAAAGTAACCAAAACTAATAGCATTTCCTTAGGGTAACTCAGTAATTATCTTGTATTCATGAGGGTTGCAAATGTTTTCTGCCATTTAATGTGAGGGTGATTGGGCACAGAGTTTAAAACCTTTTTTCCTGCCAGTAAATGGTTCATTTCATGTATGGACCGCGGTTCATTTGCTGTTGTGCTGTGCTGGTCCTGCCCTGGGGTGCACTGAGATGGCAACTGAGACTGGGTATGGTGGCGTGCGCCTGTAATCCCAGCGCTTGGGAGGCTGAAAACAGAATCACTACAATTCCGATCTGTGTAGCGAGACCCTGTAGGCCCTGCACTAAATACATTTTTTTAAAAACAGTTCATTCAAAGAAATTATTTGGATATTATTATAAATCAGAATTTTATCCATTGGGTTTTAAAAAAAAAAAAACAATAAATTGGGATCTAACTAGCAACTTGAGTGTACAGTATTTTAATTATCGTCATGTGATGTTATGGCTATATTATCACATTGCCCGTGAGAGCTAACAGTGAGGAAATGCTTTTGAGCTGGTCATTGTCACCAAGGCCTTCTCTGGCAGGAGTGGTTCTAGCTGCACAGTGTTGGTTAGTCATGGCTGACACTCATTGACCAGACAGAGTCTCGGAAGAGCTGGGCTCCTTCCAAAGGCCCCAGGGGTCCAGTCTGCCCTGCTCGCTTTCCCAGCTGCCTGCCTTGTGCTGATCCTGTCAGTGTGGCAGAGCTGCTTACTGGGGAGTGACACACGTACTAGGTCCCACTTTCTTCCCTGGGATTATCGATGCCTGAGTCCCTTTTTCCTTCTTTTTTATTCCTTTCCCTCCCACACACCTTTTTAAAAACAAACTTCATGATTTGTTCTAATGGTGTTTGTAAATAGGATCTCAAGTCTGCATCTTGTACAGCAATTAACCACTAAGAAGAATATATGCAGTATGTTATTTGTTAAATCTGTACTTCCGATTTGATTTGAAACTGTCCCATTGCTATCTGTTTATCAATAAAATTTTGAATAAATAAATAAATACAAACTTCCCAAGTTCTGACCTAGAGAGTTTCAAAACCCTAAACACTCTGCTATTTGAAATTAGTATTATTCTGAATAACTACTACGAAGACAATATGTAATGTATTAATTATTGTAACTGTCTTACCTGTTTTGAAACTGTCTCATTGCTATTTCTTTTTTTTTTTTTTTTTGTGGAACTGGGGATTGAACTGAGCCCCTTGCGCTTGCCAGGGAGGTGCATTAGTAGGGTAATGAAAGGCTAAAAGTCTTTCCTGGGGTTGCTGGGAAGGGAGTATTTCCCTTGACCTGCTGGATCATAGGCACCTTTTTTTTTTTTTTTGAGACAGCATCTGGCTCTGTAGTCCAGGCTGGCTGTGGACTTGTAGGTCTTCCTGCTCAGTGTCCCAGATGCTGGGGTTGCAGACATGTGCCACCACGCCTGGCTCATGTTCACCTCTTATGGAACAGAAAAAATTTCAAAACAAAATAATAGAATTACAGTAGTTAACACACTATATATTATCTTCAAAGTAGTTATTCAGAGCACAAGATATGGGCATTAAAAAAATTTTGGCTGGGGAGATAGCTCAGCGGCATAAGCGCTTGCCCACTTGCAAGGTCCCAAGTTCGATCTCTGGTACTGCAAAAAAAAAAAAAAAAAAAGCACTTCACGAATTTCCATGTCATCCTTGCTTGGGCTATGCTGATCTTCTCTGTACCATTCCAATTTTAAGTGTATGTGCTGCTGAAGCAAGCACTCGGGTCCACCTGTCTTAATCAGACACTTTTCTGGAACTCTGGGCTCGCTAGTCTTCAGAGAGATGATTTCAGGAAGAGGAGCAGAAGCGATGCTCGAGTGCCGCCTCAGTTTCAGGCCAGGTGTTCTGCGTGAGTGACACCCTCACTGTTGAGGAGGAGAAACTGGAGGTTAAATGACAGGCTGAGGTCACACAGAAAGGTGTGGAGATGTGAATCACTTGCACTTCGTTGCTCACACAATGCTGTGCTGTAGCAGACCACCACGTACCAGAGTGCCCCTCCCTGTCCCCAGGGCCTAGGTGTTGGTTCACAGTCCAGATTGTTCCAAGCTGGCAGGCAGGTACCCAGCAGGAGAAAGGGAGCCCTTTATGACTTCCTAGGTTAGACTTTGCCCTGGAGAAGTCACTAATGTGCGTGGTAATGGGAAAATAGTAGGAAAGGGTACAGAGTGCTAGAAATCTCCCTCACTCCATTTCCAGCCCCAGTTTTCTTTCCCATTATCTGCTGCTTTGCTTGCTTGTGTATTGTCCCAAAGCGCCTATGAATAGGCAGGCATTTTTATCTGTCCCTTCTGAAGTCTAAAACGAATTGCAGGGGGCCGGGGAGATGGTTCAGTAGAATAAGTACTTCCCTAGTAAGCTCAAAGGTCTGAGTTCAATCCCTGGTTCTGCAAAAAAATAAAAAATTAAATGAATTGCAGCATGCGATATATATTTTCTGTACCTTAATTTTCCTTGTTCACTTAATATTTTAAAAGAACATTCCATGTCAGTACTTACAGGTCTGTTGCATTTTTTATTTTTGTTTTTCTGTATTTTAGTACAGGGTCTGCAGGGTGTGCAGCGTCTCACTACATAGATGGGACTCATGATTCTCCTGTTTTCAGTCTCCCAAGCCCTGGGATTACAGGCGTGCATGCGCCACCACACCCAGTCTCAGTCACTGTCTCAGTGCGCCCTGGAGGCGGGGCTGGCACGGCAGTCAGGGGATCGAACCCTAGCCACTGTGCTCTGCCTAAGCAGGCGCTTTATTTAGTCTGCCGAGCTATCTGACCAGCCCTGCATTTTTTAGTATTTTAATGAAGTGTATTACACAGAGGGAATGCACATCAGGTATACAAGTCAGCTAATTTGTAAAAAATGAGCACATTCATAGAACCAGCACCCGAATGAAATGGAAATTATACCTTAGCCTTTTTCCTTTTAATGGTATTACAGTTTTCCACATGAATGAATATTATTCAACAAATATTCTCTGTATGAATATGTAGGTTATTTAGACTTTTGCTTCTTTTGCTTTAAGTAACACTGCAGTGACTATCACTATATAGACTTTTGCATACTTGAGTATATGTTTTTAGGCTAAATTACTGAAGAATAGAATTGCTGAATCATAGTATTCAGTTATGTACATTTAAGGTTTTGTATATTAAGTATTCCAATGTAAGTGTCTTCCAGTAATGTTTAATTTCCAAGATTTCCTCCAAGAGGTTAGAGAGCCTCATCTTCTGATACTGTAAGTTGTACATGGGTCAGATTACTGTGAAAAGTGGCTTACAGAGGAGGTCATGTATCCTTCCCTGAAGGGACAGTGGTTTTGGCTTTGGAGGGTGGCAATATTAAAGGGCCTTGTGTCTTATTTCAATTCCTTCGCACATTAATTTCTGTTTCCCCCTATTAGCTTGGAGCTTTTCTCCATCCAGTGAAAGATGGAAGGTGAGCAGTCTGGTTTCCTCTGGTTCTGCGTAGCTGTTGGCCCACTTTGTAACTAGTTTTATGGGTGCTGCCTGGGCTAAGAAGCAGCTACACAGAGTGGCCTACAGGTTCACTCCTGCCCCTGCCTGCTTCTGAGGAACCTGAGGTGGGGACGTGAGCTCAGCCCTCAGCCAGTGTGTGGCTTTCTGGACAGGCCAGGTCTGATCACTTAGCAGTCACTTCAGAGCGAGGAGTGTGGAGAGTAACTTGGCTCAGCCCCCATACGGGACCTGTGCGTGTTGTTGGGCATCATCTGGAACAGCAATTTTTTTTTTTTTTTGTTGCTGTTTTTTAGGGAAAAAAGGCTATGCAATTTTTTATCAGTTTAAAGAAGTTGGAGATCACTGAAACAAGGAATGCTTCCCACATCGGCTTTAGTTTTTTTAAAATTGAGTTGTAGGGCTGGAGAGATAGCTTCGGGGTCTAAGTGCCTTGCTGGCAAGCAGAAGAGCCCAGGTTCGATCCCCGGTACTACATGCCATGCTGGCCTGAAACTGAATGTGGTGGTGCATGCCTAAAATCCCAGTGTTAAGGAGGCTGAAACAGGAAGATCACTATGATTCCGAGCTGTGTAGTGAGACCCTGTACTAAATAAATAAATAAAAATTGAGTTGTAACTGGGCATAGTGGCACATGCCTGTAGTCCCAGTACTCAGGCTGAGGCAGGAGGATTGTTACAAGTTTAAGACCAGCCTAGGCTACAAAGTAAGTTCAAGGCCAGCCTGAGCTGTCTCAAGACAAAAATTGATACTAGACTAGTCTGGTAATTCATTTCTTTATTCTACGATTTGAAGGTGTACACTTTACTAGTTTTTATCTTATTTACAAAGTTGTACATCTATCGCAAAACTTTTTGTTGTTTGATACTGGGAATGGAACTCAGGACCTTGTACTTGCTGGACAGGCACTGTGCCGCTGAGCCATGTTCCTGGCCCCAGAGCATTTTCATCGATGTCACTCCCCATTCCGTCTCCCCTTGTCCCTTGGCAGCACTGGTCTTTCTTTGTGAACTTGTCTGCTCTGGGTAGGAATCACACAGCAGGTGCCTGCTCTGCCTGCTGCTTTCGTTTAGCAGTGATGTGAGGCTCGCGGGCTGGACGTGCTCCTGCTCAGGCGTTGCTTGAGTCCCATGGGCATGGGCTCCAGGTTCAGAGGAACAGTGATTTGTACCTGAACCTAAATCATGTCTTCTAATCTAAGAGCTTTATAATTTTCACTCTTATGCTCAGGCTTGGATTCATCGGAATTCATACATCGATTTGTGTGTTGGGCATGGGGTGGAGGTCCACACTCGTTCTTTTGCTATGAATGTCCACTTGATCCCACCACTTGTTGAAAAGAATTTGATTTCCCACTGAGTGGTCTCTTCCCTGAGCACTAGTCTAGTATCAGGCATAGTGAGGCAGGCACAGTGGCACATACCTAACTGCTTGGGAAGCTGAGACAGGAAGACCACAAGTGTGAGGGCAGCTTGGGCTGCTGAACAAGACTTTTATCAAAAAGAAAAAGGCGCCGGGGAGATGGCTCAGTGGAATAAGCATTTCCCTGGCAAGCGCAAGAGCCTGAGTTCAATCCCCAGTTCTGACCAAA